TTTTACAATAAATCTAATCACTACCTCCTGCAGAGTGAGGAATATACCCTTGAAAGGACCAGGGTATGGGGATGAGATGATCAGCCTTGGCACTAGCCCATGCAAGGTGCCTTGGTGCAAACTGGAAATAGAGCTCACATCCTCTGGGTAGACAGATACTAACACATGCTGCTTGGTGAGTGGAGGCTGGGCAGGCTTTCAGCTCCCATTCCAGGTGCCCTTGTACAGGGTGTGCCCCAAACATTAAGTGGCAGTCCTGAAGAGGATTGTTCAGTGGTGAAATAAGCAGATACAATCTGCCCACCTTTGTGCAGCTCCATTCCGTGCTAAAAAGGACCAATTTGATTCATCTGGATGCGTTTGGTTGGGTAGGGACCCCTTCTCACCACTCCGGTAGTTTAACTGAAGAGGGAGACCTCCCTGATGAAAGAAGATATCTTTTATGCTCAAGGAGGTGGCTATGCTCCCCTGTGACAGCCTCCAAGTGGGCGTTCAACGTTTAATCTTACATAACTCAGTGTTGATGCTTGACTCCTAAGAAATTATGTCGTTAGTCTAGTGGCAGGTAAGGTTTACAAATTTCTCTGCAGAAAAACATCAGAAGTAAGTCCATTTGTGTAACTCCACTTAGTGACTATCTGGAAATGGAAGTGTTACATGGGTAACACTTAGCTCAGCTGTCTTGTCAGTGACCCAGTTTACTGACTTTTACTACAAACATTAGATGAGATGATTCCAGCTTCTGTATACCAAGAAAGAACAAGGATGTCTTGTTTCAGTAATCTTTTATGAGCTATCTGTATCTTGAAACTTAGGGCCATAGGTTATAACAGATGTATAATTTTTTTAAACTAAAATTTACTCAGCTTAGGCATCATAAGGAAGGCCTGTTCAAAACGACTAATATGAATTCATGACTTACAGTGGGAGCTCAAACCACAGAAATATCATTTCTGAAGGATTTTTATTTTTGAAAATCAACATAAAACTTTATTCCCATTGAGGAATAAAGCCTTAGATAGTGGAAATTACCCTAAATTGTGTTCCTGGGTCCTGAATTTCAAATTACCTAAATAGATGAAATGGGCAAGTGATTTAACCTTGGTGAGATTCATCTAGAGATCTATTAAATGAGATAATTTAAAGTCTTAAAGTTCTTAGAGCACTCTGATTTATTTTATATATAAAGTCCTTAAAATAGGGAGAATGTCAAATCCAAAGTAGCATTTGCAATCACATGTGTGCAGAAGTCGTGTGTATACACAGCAGGTCTTGAGAGAAACGCTAAGTATGTCATCAGGCCTACATTTAGCTCCTTACTGAGACAAACATCCCAGCAGATTTTTTGGCACTTAATATAATTGGTCACCTCTTTGGAGAAAAAAAATCTAACTCCACTAGTAAACAAAGGCTTGCGAAGTGAAAGGGACAGAGCCTTACCTATCTATTACAACCTCTTTAAAAGTAAGTAGCCACCCATCTCAAATTACCAACTTTCACATTTGGGTGGCATATAATCTGTGTCCAAGAAGTGAAGCAAATCCAAATATGGTGAACATTCCTCCCTTGTCAAAGGGAAAAAAAACTTTATCTACTCATTAAAACCCATTTACCAGAAATCAGCTCCCCTGTTAAATATCCAAGTGGGCAAAAAGCATGTTTTGCGTGCAACCCTGCAGAAGCTCATCCTGATGCCAAGTTACTGGGATCCCGTAAACGTCATGCCACCGCTTTTGATAACGTAGACGTCTTTTTAGAAGCACTTTTTTACGCAGATTTTGTCTAGCTAGGGGAAAGGTTAATTTATTTGTATACACAAGGATAAGTAAGGCATGGTGCGTCTGAACGCCTACAGATCTGCAACTAATTCTTCCTCCAGAACAAACGCATTTTTACACCCCCAGGAGTCTCTCCCCAGAAAGTGAGCGCGCGCATACTTGTGTGACTTAAAAAGTGTGTGTGTGTGTGTGTGTGTGTGTGTGAGAGGGAGAGGGAGAGGGAGAGGGAGAGGGAGAGGGAGAGGAGAGAGAGGGAGACAGAGGAAAGAGAGAAGAGAGGAGAGAAAGAGAGATTTAAAAGGAACGCAGATTCAGCAACTGACTTCTCCGCCCACCTGGGGCCGGGAACCTGCGTTCCCAGACCGCACCAGCTGGGCGGGGCTTAGCTCCGAGGCACAGGTGGGGTCTCCAAAGCGAGAATCCAGGGCCAAACCGCCCAAATCCGGGCAAACCCTTTGGGAGGCACTTATGGCTCGCCCGGGTCCCGACACCCCACTCCAGGCCACGCGCTAGCGTCTCTGCCACTTCGGTAGCTTGCAGGACCTTCACTGAGGATGGGTGTCCTTTTTCGGAAGTCTCCAAACCACCTCAGACTACTCGGCGACCGCAGCATCTGGGACGTCCCCACATCTCTAAGTCAGACCCCAAGAAAGATCTTTGAGAACTTGAGCTTCACACTGAAAATCCCAGGGCCAAAGAGGATGTCTGTGCGGGCTGGGAGAGGGGAAAGGGGCTGAAACCCTCTCCCCTGCGGGCTCCAGCCCACTCCATCCATCCTCCCCCGGGGCGAGGGGCGGGCCGGGGGCCGGGGTGGGGCAGGCCCTGGAAGGCGCCCCTCCCTTCTCACCTCCCGCGGCCCACTCTTACTCACTTTCGCTCGGAGCCGCAGCTTGGCCGCCTTTAGCCGGGGCAGTGCGGAGGGGCTGCGGGGAGGAGAAAGGAGCTGGCAGGAGGCAACCACCCGGCAGCCCCGGAATCTCCGGGCTGCGCCCTCGCCCCAGGTCGGCCAGGGAGCGGGGCCCTGGACACCCCCAACCGGGCACGCCGGCGCGGCGAGCGCGCTGGCCTCCGCGCCCTCCAGGCTGGCTCCGCCGGCCCTCCCCCTCCGGCCGTCGCCGTCGCGGCCCGCCGCCCCTCCCCGCCGCAGCCCGGAGGCCGCAGGGGCTCGGGGGACGCGCTCGCACCCCGGCCGCCCCCTCCCCTTCCCCCACCCCGGGCGGGGGCGCGCGAGAAGCGGTGACGTCAAGGGGCGCGCGGTGGCAGCACCTCCCCGCGCGCTAGTTAAAAAGAAGAAGAAAAGAGGGAGCGAAACATGAGAGGCTGTGTGAGAAGCTGCAGCCGCCGGCAGAGGAGACCTCAGCATCATCTAGAGCCCAGCGCTGGCCCTGCCTCCGCCTGCCCCGCCGCCGCCGGAGCTCTTTCCGTTCCTGCTACTGTCCCACCTAAACAACTCCCGTTACACGGACAAGTGAACCTCTGTGACCGTCTTCTCCTCTTCCTCCTCTTCCAACTACTTCTCCTCCTCCCACTTCCCAGCCGCAGCAGAAAGCACCTAACCCAACTGACATTGGCACAACTGCAAACGGTGTCATCTGCACAACTTTATCTCGCTCCTCGGGCTCCCCCAAGGCATCGGACCCATCGCCTCGTCTTTTACCTTTTGCAAAGTTGCATCGCTCTACCTATTTTCGGCCCCACCACCTCCCTCTGCCTCTCCGGTGCCCTGCAGCCCCGCATCCTCCTCCTGGAGCTGCGCCCTAGTGCCCCTGCTGGGCAGTGGCGTTCCCCCCCCATCCTCCCGCGCCCAGCCCCTGCCGCTCGGGGCAGACGATGCTGAAGATGCTCTCCTTCAAGCTGCTGCTGCTGGCCGTGGCTCTGGGCTTCTTTGAAGGAGATGCTAAGTTTGGGGAAAGAGGCGAAGGGAGCGGAGCGAGGAGGAGAAGGTGCCTGAATGGGAACCCCCCGAAGCGCCTGAAAAGGAGAGACAGGCGGATGATGTCCCAGCTGGAGCTGCTGAGCGGGGGAGAGATGCTGTGCGGTGGCTTCTACCCTCGGCTGTCTTGCTGCCTGCTGAGTGACAGCCCCGGGCTGGGACGCCTGGAGAACAAGGTAGGCGATCACCGGCCTCACGGATGCGTACTTGGCACCCTGGCTGGGTGGGGTTCCCTGTGGCTCTGGCGGTGCTGGTAGCTGTAAGAAGGGCAAAACTTGTTTGGGGAGTTCTTTCGATAACTTTTCTAAAGCCCCAACGCGATTTGGTTGTGTGTTTCTCTGAGGTGTGCAGACAGCTCTCCCGCCCCCAGATGCTAGGCAAACTTGCCTGTCTCAGAAAAGAGACGTTTCAGTGGTACCCGCATCCTGGCTGGGCACATATGTTAAAAGAGTCGCGATTAACAGCACATTTTGGATCAAGTTGGGCATTGACTGCGGTGAAACGGTAAATTAAGGTGGCTGTGACTTCCGGTTTATTTTTCTAGGGTGAAAAGATTTGTGCCGTTTTCTCCACGTGCTCGTTTAGGGAGAGGATTGAATCGTAAAGGATATTGAAGCATGGTTGGTGTACGGTCGCCGGCCGCGTCACAGGGGGGTGCCTTGCATTACTTTAGTAAAACCAGAGGAAAAGAACTCCTAGTACTCCGGTGAAGAACCAAAAAAACTGGAGAAAGATTTTGCTGGGGCGTATTTATCACGTAAAACTGAGACGTTTCCCCGTCATTTTGCAACGTTATAAATGCAGGCTTTCAGAGGTGGCTAGGTGTCTTGGAAGAGCTCTAAGAACTTATTTTAAGAGTAATGGCATTTGCATTTCCCTTGTGTTAATAAATCCGTATACGAAAATAGGGTTGGTTGAGTGTAAAGACAAGCTTATTTGGGGTTGCAATATCGTTCGTGCCATGGAATGTGGTATATACTGTACTCTAAGGGAAGACTGCTGGCTCATGTCATTAACAATCACTGCACGTGAAATAAACAATCAGGTGTCTTTCTCCCCCTCCCTTTCCCCATTTAAGGTTTAATTAAGAATTCCTCTGTTACAACACTGCAGTTGTCAAGGTCTGAGAGACTCTTGGAAAACTTGGGCTTCAGTCGTGCTGGCCCAGGCATAATAAAAAAAAATACCCAGGCTGAATCTAATTTTTATGCTCAGTTCACGGTAGATTTCACTCTATTCTCATGTAAACAGCTCCTACGAATCAACATATGTGTCTGGGTGGTATCTCTCACTTTGTTTTGTAACAAAAAGCCATATTGCATCATTTAATTTGCTCAAGTCATGCAAATAGGAAAAAATCAATAGGACAAAAAGGGGTCGACTTATCCTCCTCAGCACTAAACTGCCGCCCACACACAGAGTCCTGTTGCTTATGGCAAAAGAATAACAACAACACCATTGTATTTGTTAGTTGGTTCACTAATGGGTGAAACTAGAGAACATCATTCTCTTTCAGTCCCCAGCTCTGTCCAAATGTTCATGCCTTTTGAGGCAGCATTTGTCCAACTCCCTCTATTCCCAGATGAGTGAGAACTGTCTTGCTGCAGGTTTTCAGCTGCAACTCTCTCTTTATTCTTACCATATGCAGCAGTGGTCTGAGATTCAGGGGACGGATATTCTGGCATTTTATTCAAAACAATTATCATTAAGCTCCTGTGTTGTAATTGAATTAAGTTAGAAAATAGCCCCGTGCAAATCACCTTACGAATTTTACCAGGGGCCCTAAAGAACCAGGAAATTCAGAGAAAAGTTTAGAAATATTTGTCATCAAGTCTCCCTATATGCAATGTCTACAATGAACATACAGATGATTCTAGAGACTCCTGCAGCACTGAGCTCTTCCAGGAACATGTGGAATGAAAACTTTGCTCTTAACTAATGAGTAGGGAGAAGTGGGAGTGGCGATGGGACTGAGGGGAGTTATAAACCTTAAGAGAAGTTATATAAATTTTATTTTAAAGAAATCATTCTTTAGGAAGCAATCTGCCACGTTAGCTATCCGCATTCCTTTCTGTTTTACGTGCTTCCAATCTCCAGCAGACCCTTAGTCATTTGGAAAATGTGTCTGAATTAAGTTTGGTACATTACACTTTGCTGGTTCCATTACAAGTGGTTTATAAACTAACAATACTCAAATTGTTCAAAACAGAGATTTGATATAGCTGTGCATATGCATTCTTGACCTATGTTAGTTCTCAAGTTTTAATAGTTTTTAAAACATGTTATTTTATAATAAACTTCAGTGTTTCCCTTTTTCCTGTAAGCCTTCCTGGATTATAATATATGTTAGGGTCTTATTTCATAATGTGTATACAGGAGAGATGATTGCTATTTGAGAAAGCCCTTTTCTGTTTATGAAAGAAAAAAAACTTTTCCCCAGAAAGATTTCTGTAACTTTTCAAGAACTTACAGTAGTAGTTCTTTCCTAGGGGAAGAAATTTCTTAGACAGATAGTAGCCCACTAGGTAGGAATAATGGAGCGTGCCCAACTATGCAATTAAATCCAGTTTCTAGATGGACAGTTTTCTTTAATGAACTAGCATTAAGTTCAACTCTTCATAGTATTATGCTTTTACATTTTAATTTTTTGTATATTTTAATCATGTTGCAATGAGATTATTAACCACCATTATTACAACTAAATATTGCCAACATTTAGGAAGTCATGTTATCTTTGCCTTATTATCGCAACTTCTAAATACAGCATGCTAAAAGGTTCTAATTCTCATTAGCCAAATTGAATCTGCAACCAACTGAAATACCCCCATTTTGAAAACTTAACTTGTAGCCACAGAGGCATAGAAGCTCTCTCTACCTTGGGTGGTTTCACAGCCAAAGCTGTCAAGGAATGGGTGAAAAGTAATTGTTTTCAAGTGTGCCCTTTTACAATCATTTGTTTGCTCTGGCTCTTTCAGGGACAAAGGCTATTGTTGAACACATCCAACTAAACAAATAACTCATCCTGGGGTCCCTTTAACAGCTGCCTTAGTACAATGATCTATTTACATATTAGCCTAAAATTGAAACTGAACTCTTTAATGACATAATCCAGCACTATAGTCCAGAGTCGCAAGTGTTCTCTCCAACAGCTGAACAACCTTGTAGGCATATGATTTTTAGAAATAACTTTTTGTGCACAAAGTGATCTGTAGGCAACATCTTAATATACTGTCATGCATTTTCTCCTTTTCTCCCCTCATGGAACCCATGTGGGTGCCTTTTTGCCCTCTTTTGTTTAGTTACTTGATAAATAAAGAGAAATACAGAAGGTCTCTGTCAGCCCGTTTACTATTTGTTGATAAGCTATAGTTGTAGGCCACGCTTTCCTGTGTACGCCCTATTTATCTTACCTTTCTTCTATGGATTTTACTTTCCTGTGGCTAAAGATTAAAGGATGACCTGCCAGATGTTATAGATTAGTCAGCAACAGCCACAATCATTCCTCAGCACGCTGTAATAATGTTTCAGAGTTTTACATGATTTCTGAAGTATATTTAAATTAAACCACTACAATTTGATGGTTTCGTATATAGCCTTTAAAAATTGAAACAGGAAATTAGCTTAAATGTCTTATCAAGATTGATGGCATTGTCAGACATAAAGTTAGGGACCTTTGCAAATACAGACACATAAGCCAAAAAGAGGAAAAAGTTCCCCTGCACACACCCATCCTCATCTGTCTCTATCAGTGTTGCCGCTTTGGCTGAGTCAGTTTAATTGACTTCAGTAACACTATTGGTTCATTGAAACCAAAGCCAGAATGATGGCTCTATCTGTCCTCAAATAGGTATTTACACTGCAGACCTCACACAGAGCAAAATGTTACCATCCTGCTGGGCCAGAACAGCATGAAACTTTAAAAAGAATAATATTATACTTGATATCGGATAATTTATTGAATCCTATTTCTGAAACTTTTGATGAGAGACCTTGTGGCCAGAAAACATTCCAAAAATTGTAAAAGACAAAGTTCTTGAGGCACTAAAATCAAGCTTTTCCTGGATAGCAGCTGGGAGAGTACATGGGGATCATTTCATTTCAGCTATAAAAAATGCAAGCATGCTTATTCCCCGTAAAACCAAAGGGAGTGAATTACATCCCAGTTTTTCACCAGCAAAAGAGGTGGCTTCAGCATCCTGCGGTTGTTTTCTTTGGGGGGGACTGCTTAGATGATAAACAAAGAGAACAGAGTGGAACATTATTAATATTGAATAGATCTGGCGAGGCCTGCCAGAGTGTGGAGAATAAAAGACATTTAAAACATTCTTGGAATGCAAATTCTAAGTGTCTGGTGTATGTTTCCTTTTAGAAAACTTTAACCATTTAGGCAATTGTCATTTAAATAAATTGATAAAAAATGTAAATATAACAGATTAATAATAACTTTTCTGAATATTGCAGATAGTTACAGCACAGCATAGATATTTCTTTTCCACAATGGGGGTTATTTCTATGAGAATACTTCTTTTAAATACCTCACACTAAAATTACAAATTAAATTTGTATTTAATAATTTTTTTTTAGTTACTTTACTCTTTCGGATCCAAATTTCCTTAATCGCCTAGAATATCATTATCAAAAATCAGCAGCCATCAGATTTACTCAAATTAGAAACTCAGCTTGTGAAAAAATTATTTGCTTTAAGCAATGATCTAGAACTTTAAAAGTTAATTCTTTTAAAGTTCATAGTTCTAAAGGAATCATTCAATATAAATATAGTGAGACAAATTGTGGAAAAGTGTTCAATCTCATTATGGTTTTTTTTTAATATGAAAAATGAGTGCTTGATTTAGACAACATTATGTGTCATGTGTCAAATATTGTGCAGGTATTAGCTTCTATATTTATTGAAGGAGCTCCAGAAGTCAGTTTAAAAATTACTACTACACACCAAGAGCTATTCTGCTGTTAACTTCAATGAATCAATACCTCCCAAATTGATATCATTTAAAAAACATATCATTCTAAATGATAAGAGCATAACTTTTTGATTAAAATTCACTGCACACCATTTAAAAGCATTTTCAGTAAACTCTTGTGTTTATTCATGCATATAACATACCTGAGACATAGGTGAAGACCTACTTAGAAAGTTTATCCTGGCTAAGAGATAATAAATAACAAAAATTTGTCTTAAACTGGTTTGATTCCACTTGGGATATTATTTTAATAAAACATAAAAGGCAGATATTTCCCCATTTTAGAAAACTTTTCCTAGACAGTCTGTAGATTGAACATTTGTTGATATTTTTAAAATGCAATTTAATTGCATTTTTAAGAAAACCGTATTAGGAATTTCAGGAATTAAATCGATTTTCACCTAAGATGCAAATAAGCCATGTCTTAAATAATTCTGCTTTGCATGCAGTTGGATAAAGATATTTGGAATTTTAAAGGCAAGTATCATTCAGCACACACTTTGAGGCAGAATAAAGTGATAAAGGTTTAACGGTCTAAATGTAATTGTCTTTTAAGTTTTCACACCTGCAAGACAGATTAATAAACTTTGATTTGCAAGGGTGAGAAGCACTTTGATGCATCCCTGCCCTTTGTTCTCCCAGCCCAGCCCCAGATATTGTACTTGCATCCTTATAAAGGCATTCTGTATTGTGACGCAGTAATTCTTTTCAGAAAATTTTATTGGCTAAATTAAATTAGACTTTTCTGCTTTCATGATCGCAAATAAGTAAATAAGTACACAAACGTAACATTACATAACTAAAAAGATGTTTGTTTCTGATTTATGGATTCCAGATATTTTCCGTTACCAACAACACAGAATGTGGGAAGTTACTGGAGGAAATCAAATGTGCACTTTGCTCTCCACATTCTCAAAGCCTGTTCCACTCGCCTGAGAGAGAAGTCTTGGAAAGAGATCTAGTCCTTCCCCTACTCTGCAAAGACTACTGCAAAGAATTCTTTTATACTTGCCGAAGCCATATTCCAGGTAAAAAATGCACACATTAAATAAACCATTGCAACATACCCTTACAAGATAACCTGTTCTTAATTGCTTATTTACGAGTGTTATAAAATTTATCTGGGCTTTCCAAATGCCTATTTTTACCTGATAATTAACCTTTCCAAATTCATACCTTTTATTGCTGCTGAAAGGCGCATTGTAATTTCACTTTACGGACAGTATTTTGGTTTAACATTTCTTGTTAAGCTGATAATACGGCTGTTAATCTTCACATACTTTGGATTATCATCAGTACAAATTTCTTTCTAGTGTCTTCTTTACTGTCAATATCACTGTCAATATCAGGGCAGCCTCCTCTTCCACATAGCTGACACGTAATTGGAGAATGTCCACTGACTTTTAAGATATTTCCTTAAAGTAAAAAACGAGTAGGAATCAAAACAAAGTATTACCTTACGAAGCACTTTCGCATATAATGACTGACTTGCTCCTCAAAAAATCTTGAGATGGAGTTAAGAACAGTAGAGCTCTCTGCATTGGACGGATGAGAAAAGTTGAGCCTCAGGAGAAGGTAAATGTCTTAAGCAAAGTTGTACAATGGCTAGGTGATAGGAAAGATAGAGAGTTCTTATGTACAATGGCTAGGTGATAGGAAAGATAGAGAGTTCTTATGTACAATGGCTAGGTGATAGGAAAGATAGAGAGTTCTTAGTATCTGATGGCATAAATATACCCAGTCATTATCATATTTTGGGCTCCAGTAAACATAGATGTTTGGGCATTGATTACTTTTACCACCAAAAGTTTATAAACTTTGATTGTTACTGCTTTAGTTGAAGAATCAACACAGGAAGAAAAGAATTTAACAAGACAAGATTTGGTTTATTTAGGCAAAGACATCTACTGAAGTTAACAGTTTATAAAATCAAATGGTATTTAAGACAAGCTTTAAGAACTGTAGGATGCCCTGAGAGAGTTTTTTGAACTGCTATGTATATTTTACATTTGTTTCTGACCCAGAAAAGTGTAGATTTTGGTATTTTCAATAAACCCCTCTGAATAACCTGAGAAAACATTTTCGCTCAGGTTGCTTGGTGCCTTTGGTAGAGCATAACGCGTATGGAAACCCATCCAATGTGAAAACATTAGCATTGTCTTTGCAAATGACAGCCATGTTTCTAAGGCTTTGCTTAAACCAGCTGTTTCTTCTTCTTTCTCACTTTCCCCCAGGCAGAGTAGAATAGGTCACGGTTGCCTGTATGGCCTACCGAGAAACCATAACAGATTAGATACCATAAAGGTTTGCTGCAAACTTCAAGTCTTAAACATTTGCCTTTGGGACTACAAATGGAAAGTGATATCAACATTTAGTTTTTCCACTTATCATTATCTACTTTAATTAAATCAAACATGTTAGATTTGGGGGCTCATCCGTGGGGATCTTTATTTTTAAAATTTATTTTACCTTCCCCAAACAGTAAAATAAAAGCCATGCCCACTGACAGAGAGCACAGCAAACAGCTCAGAGACAGCGCTGCAAGCACCTCACTCCTCAGATCAACATATGTAGTAACGAATGACACATTTATTTTTCTACAGAGTTTGTATATATGTAAAACTGCTGAAGTGCATCAAGATGTCAAGTGCTTTTGGTGGCCACCCAGGCTGCCTTGAAAGATAACCAGATGAAAGCTCCACTCTAGAGGTGGATGCAACAGCAAGGGTGCTTCCCAGAGATTCTGGAAAGCTTTAATGACAAACAGTGGGGCTGCCCCTGGATATGTCAAGTGCTAATAATCATTCTTACTACTCGTTCCAAAAGTGAGCTGTAATAACACAGTCTCTGAGTTACTTAGGGTAATCGATTTGTTAGTTAGACTCAATCTTGGCAGGCAGGTTAGCATTTCCTAAAGTATGATGAATAAGATGGTAATCCTCTCCCCTCAGCTCCTGCCCCCAGCACTGGAGTATCTTTAGAATTCTAGAACACTAATTTATTGAAAATTACTATAAAAGCAAATTTGTGATAGTTTTCCCTTTTTAAGTCTATTGAATGATCTGGTTTATTTTCTCAAAAGTTTAAAACCGGGGAAAACAGCTACTTTGTGATTATTTTTATAAGAAACTAATAACACATTTGACTGTCTTCATTAATAGCTTCATCTTTCTACAAATCAAAGAAGAGGGTACCCTCGAGGGTGTGTTTTGTCAGAGGAAGGCAAAAACTGACAGGGATTGGGAGAGGAAAAGAACTCCAGATGTCTTCACTTTTTTCTCTATTTCCCAATACACGAAGAGATCAGTATATAAGTGATCTAACATTTATTTTGCCTTCATGGCTTTAAGAAAAGACAGCCTCTTTAGCAGTTTCATATACCTTAAAGGTAGCTGCTATCTAGAGATTTGAGTTCTGAATTCATGTCTCCTCTGCTTATTTTTTTTCCCAAATGAGAAATGTCATTAAAAAGCCACATAGTGAGCACATACTAGGATTTTACTAATTATAATATTATTCTCCCATTGTGAATTGACACTTTTTAAAAACACCAAAGTTACATTCAACAGATAAGAGCTCGCGGCTCAGCTCCACAGGTCTTTCCTTCTGCCTAAGTGAGCAGGGTGGATACTTGGCTGTTCACTGACAGATGGCGTTGTGCACTCTATGGAAGGCATACCAGAGGGTATCTGTTGGTCTTGCTTGCTTATACCTCTAATCGTAAGGATTTTTATCACCATTGGACTTCCTCTCCTCAGGTTACGGTAGTGTGAAATGTCTGCTCATCGTTAGTTCAATTGGTTTAATCCCGTTTAACACGATTAGGCAATTTTCATCTGAACACCTAGCCATTGACGGATGGAGGAGAAAAATTATCTTTTGCAGATGGTGAATTGCTGAAGATGGATAACTGCTACTGTGAATTTCATTCTTCTCTCAAATTTCTAATCCCTGGATTCTTTCCAACATAACCTTCCCATGCCTGGCCCCTCCCATGGAGCACCCTTCCCAGCAGTTCTGTCCCCCTTTTTTCTGTGCCCCTCACCACTCTCTCACACAGACACTCACACACACACACTCCCAAGGACTTCGCTCTTTTTTGCCTGATTCCCAAAGACCAGATCTTTCCTAGCACCCAAGTCAGATATGGGCCTCAGAGAGTCTCTCTCAGAAATTCAAGAGTTATACCCAAGAGTTCACCCAAAAGTTAGGCCAGAATGTCCATCAAGCTTTAACATTTGGGACCCTCTCGTTCTAAGATAAGATTTTTGTTTCGAAGGGTCCAAGGTCAAGCACATAGAAAATAACCTTTGAATGTCTTTTATGCCCCATTGATAAACCTCACTGAGCTGATCCTAAATTCTAGTTCTTAGAAATCCATGCTAAACCTGAATGTGTTATATAGCTTCTAAACCTTTGCTAAATTACCCTGTGCCTTTATCACAAAACTGATAGCGGTATAATGATCTAACTTGTTAGATAAAAATCAAAACTTGAAATATAATTAAAGGTGTGAGACCAGAAGTGGCAATTCAGGATCTTATACAAGGCAGAAGTCACCAGAATAAGCCTTGAATCTTGTTCCTATTTTAAAAGTAATATTCAAAGCTCCTTTTTTGTCATAACGTTATTTCTTATTCAAAGTGACCTGTTTTTGTCTGACAACATTCTTAATAGATAAGAAAAGAAAACCATCTTTCTTTGAGATTCAATTAAATAAGTCAATTTTTTGTTTTTGTTTTGGCTCAGTGATATGTCAGTTTTCTACTAGCTGATTTGAAGGGATATTTCAAATATAGTTTTTGTATCATAAAATAACCATTATCTCCTGTAAGTGAGGTGCAGGAAAAAGGTACCTCCATATTTGAAAATGAAGGCTATGTGATCAGCATCAATGCATTGCTTGATCATTGACAGTGAGTCAGTTCTTTATTATTACGGGGTGTAAGGACCTACTGTGTTCATTAGGTTTGTTATTTGGTCTTGTGTGAGTGGCAATTCAGGAAGAATTGTAAAATGACCAAAACCTGATGGCCTGTCTCTTTCTTGATACTAATCTTGTTCTTCTTTGGAGGTTACTTAGTATTATAGGGAACAAATGCTGAATCGTGATGAAATAAACTCACAGGTGCAACATGTGACAACGAGGGTAGCTTGAAAACAGTTAAGATCAATGCTGGGTTTGTACAGTTTGCACTACGTGTGTTTCGTAAGAGCCTTTTAAAATATCTGGCATCATACAACTTCACTTTTACTTCAATTCTTAGATTTTGGTTAAAAACAAATGGGGATCTCAACCCTCAATATTTGTGTTCTCCTTACTTTAGTTGAGTTTTTTCCCTAGAATATTCGGATAGTTTCTAAACACGCTTCCCCCCCCCCATTATATCTGTTAAACAAAGTGGTTTTACTAGGACACTAAATGTTTCTCATTTATATTTTTAATTTTCTCATTTATGTTTTTTAAAGGTTTCCTTCAAACAACTGCTGATGAGTTTTGCTTTTACTATGCAAGAAAGGATGGTGGGTTGTGCTTTCCAGATTTTCCAAGAAAACAAGTGAGAGGACCAGCATCCAATTACTTGGACCAGATGGAAGAATATGAGAAAGTGGAAGACATCAGCAGGTTCATAAAGATAAATTTTCTTTAATCTTAAAAAAAAAAAGCCCAACTGACCAATCTTGTGGTTTTGACAGTGAATCGACTGTCTGTGCTTAAGTTCAGCAGCTATATCTTCCAGATGCGTTATTTTTTTTTCTTTTTGGTAGTTTGCTTCTCCCAAATCATAGCTTAAATGCTTTTAATATGTAGACTACTAATCTTATGTTATGAGCTTGGCTTCCCTATGACTCATGAATTTTATGGGTATAGTTTGAAACTTGAATTTTATGACTGTTGTTACCTTATGGCCCTGTGGAAATGTTCAGCACAATTATTATCGGATTTTTATAAATAGAACTTTCCCTCCACAAACTTTTCTGTAAGTTTTAATTATTGGGAGTAACAGCTAATTTTAATTGGAGACACCAAATGATGAGATAATGAACTTATGAAATTTTAAAGTACGTACATATTTCGATTCTCTCCTTTAGGTTCTGATAGAGGCTGTTTTGTTGTTTTTCCACCAAAAAGAATTTTAAAAAATCGTATTGTGACCCTTAGGTTAGCAGCCCTTCATGACTCTCTAAAACCATTGATTCCTAGAGGAAATATATTTTGAAAAGGGTGCTCTGTGCATCCCTTACCTCTCCCATTTCAAGAAAAGCTTACTGGTTTTCTTTAATTTGTCCAGAAAGCACAAACACAACTGCTTCTGTATTCAGGAGGTTGTGAGCGGGCTGCGGCAGCCTGTCGGTGCCCTGCACAGTGGGGATGGCTCACACCGGCTCTTCATTCTGGAAAAAGAAGGCTACGTGAAGATACTTACCCCGGAAGGCGAAATTTTCAAGGAGCCTTATTTGGACATTCACAAACTTGTTCAAAGTGGAATAAAGGTTGGCTTTTAAATTTTATTTATTTCTGCTTTGGCTATGTTAATTTGATGTTAGTTTTATCTTCTTCACGGAAGGCATTTCTTTGTAATAAAAGAAAGAATATTAAAAGAGACAAAGTAACAATAATATGGTGACCGGATTGCGACAGAGACCTTAAATGTATATGTGATTTGCTGTTGAGCGATGCCATCAGACTTAATTTTGACATGCTTTCCCTATGTAATTTACATATTTAAAATACTTTTTTATCTTTATAAAGTATTTGTTGAAACCTTGTTTAAGGGGCACATCCCTTAGGCTTGTCCCATCAGCACTTTCTAGTAGAAACAAAGAGGGCTTCTGGGATTTTGGCAATTGCAAATCATACCTTTATCATATCTGTTTGTGAGTCTGTCTCATAAAAAAGTACAACTTATCCTATGACTTTTTTGTGCCATGTTTTTACAGGTAAGTCAAATATTTTTATCTACAATTAGCCATCTGTTTAATACATAAGCGTATCTAACATCTGACCATATCCATTGCCTTCTTTCTCATGTCTCTAATTTGAGTTCTCATGTTAAATAATCTAGATGTGTAAATAAAATTATTGTCTATTTTGTTCCACAAGAGGAATATAATATAATATTAGCCGTACTACGCTGTAAAGCAAATTGCAGCATTCTAAAATTAAGAGATATTTAACAGCTCATGACTATTTTAGAATGAAATAGACCAGCAGTGTGATGTGGGAAGAGCTGGTTACCCTTTTCATTTCTTAACTAGAACAAAACCGAGGGAAGATTTATACTCTTCTACTCATACTCATGTATGACGCCTTGCCTTGTTGTGCTCTACTCAAAGGTAAGAACACCAAAAGCAGAAGAAGCAGGTCAGAAAAATGACAGATATACTATTGATCTAGTCAGTATCAACCAAGTTAAAAGAACAAGAGTAAACCAACTAGTACACAGGTCATGCTCTATGTTTTGGATTGCTCATCCTAAAGCTCATGCTGAAACAGTGTCACCAAGATATATGGAATAAGAGATTGTTAAGGAGAAGGACCTTGGCACCAAGGCACAGATCATATGGAAAGTATTTTTAACTCAGTATTTTCAGCTTTCTTTCAACAAAACTTTTCATTAGAGTTCAGAGCAAAAAATTAAAAATCTCTTTTAAAAGAATGTATTAGAGTTTTGCACATCAGTGTTCAATAAATAACATTCTGAAAATGTGTCCGGGGAACTCACGGCCAGTGGTCCTAATGAGTTAACAATCAGTAGCGACAAACACATTACTCACTGTAGGTGTATTTTTTTTTCCTTCCTATGGAAGTGAAATGTGCTCCCTATAAACGAAAAAAATTGGGGGAGATATTTTTAAAGTCACCACCTGCAATCTCATCAATTAAAAACACTATCAATGTTTTTTATATGCTCTATTCCAGTTTTTATATTATAATTAAATAAACTTTGCATTCCCACAAAGGTACTACAGACGCATATTTAATAAATGTGAAAACACAGTAAGAAGCTCTTTCCTTTTAGCTTTTTTCCTAAACAACTTTAAAATTGAAATCAAATTTATATATATATATATATGGCTTTAGCCTTCTTTTTTTTAATTTAACAGTGTGTCATGAAGACTTTCCCAGATTTGGAAATTTTTCTCAAATACTCAGTTTCTATCTCTTTCGGGTGCTCCATTTTGTTATTCTGAGACATTTTGAATGACTCCAGTTGTTTCTCTTTACTACTGTAAATAATGTTATTTATCATTCTTGTACATATTGTCAAACTTGGTCAGGGATGATTTCCTATTAAGGAAGTCGAAATCATTCCTATTCATTCTTAGAATGAGCATTACTGAGTTGAAGCTGATACACTGTAATACATATTGCCAATTTACTTTGAACTGCATTTTCAAACATCTGAGAGAATAGTTCTCAAATATTTTTTGAGTAAAAATGTTAATATGGGAAAGATATGTATGATAAAATAGAGATGTAAAAAGTGCTCACAAAAAAACAATGTTCTTGTTTCTACTTTCATTTAACTGCCTGAGGAACAACTGCCTTTAAAATTAGGTTTCCCTATTTCAGCTTATACCCTTCATGGAGGTATGAGATGAGATACTCATTGAGATGCCCTGTTCTGACGCGGACATGGAGACATTACATTTCATCATCAATAAAACTGTACAAGCAAGGACGGTTCTTTAGTATGGGTGTTCTGAAGGCCTCTAGGAACTCTTGCAAATTTGCCCCCCCCCTTTTCAAAAAAGCTCCAGGCATTCTGGCACCTTAAGTAAACTTCAAAATCTGTTTTCTAGTGAACTGATTATGACATATTTTAAAGTGCGATATTTTACATGCTTCTAGTGTTTTGGCACTAGTAATGTCAATAAAATAGGAACATACCACATAGATATCCGTGTGTGTATCGTGAATAATGAGACCACATTCTTACTACCTCGAGTAGGTTATGCTGCTCTTGTGTGGCTCTTATTTCGGTCCCTATGAAACTCCCCCATGGGAAGTGCTAGAAGATGCTGTGTTGATATGATGCCAACACATTCATGGTTGATCATATCACTTATTTTGGTGGTCTATCCTTCAGAGACTGGTGACATTAAAACATTTTCACAGCAATTTCACAGTCATTCTTCCAGGCTTCTTTGATATATGAATAGTTCATGTGTTCATGGCAGTATGCCATGTTTGTCAATAAGTCATTTTGCATAAATAGGAATTTTCATAAATTATTATACATACTATGTACCAATTCTTGTCCATTTATTCAGTTTTAAACTCCTAAAAGAAGGCGAAAAGCAATTTAACAGGCTGAAGTATCAGTTGTAATAATAAAATCACAAAATTAATAATATGTACTAAACCCAACCTCCGCATGCTTGGAATGAAAATGACACAAAACACAGTGGAGGCTCCCTCTCAAGGACGTTAATTAATGACCAGTAAGAGTGAAAGAAATCAGACACACACAGAAATTCTGATTATAAGAGTTTCTAAAAGCTAGTGCTGGCTATAAGGAAATGTGGAATTCTGTTAATTGTAGATTAAGAATTAACTGTGATTTCCGTCACATGAGGTAAAGGCTGACTTTTTTTTGTGCAAGGAGCTGGGCTTGGTTGATTAATCTCTTTAAATGTCCCTACTGAACCTGATTTTTTAACGGCTTAAGAGACACCATCATCCAAGTCGTTAGGGGACTTGGACAACTTTTCCCTACATCAGTCCTGACTGCAGCTAAAAATATGATGCCTTATTTTTGAATACTGAATTGTGCTGCCTAACTTGTAGTAGACTCCTAGTGCCCTGGGGGTTAAACTCTCTAAAGTTTATGGAGCAAAAATTAATCTGCAAAAAAATCCAAAGTGCAAGCTAAAGAATCAGCTTATTTTTGCTACAGAAAATAAGTTGTAGTGTTGAAATTAAAAGAGCAAGTCAGAAATATGTTTTAAAAATATGTTGAGATTTGCTAGATCTTTGATTATAGTGCACTCTGTAACCTAATCACTGATACTTAGACAGTATAAAGAATGGCCCAAGCAGCCAATTAATGAGCAAACTTAAAAAGCCTTCCTTTCGTATAATGTCTGTGTGGACTTGTCCAATTTGAGTGAAGAGATGTAAGTTAACTCTGGCAGTGTATAAGACTCTGGATACAGAATTCTGAAAAAGGACATTTAAAAATCAATAGCTAATTCTAACTGGGAAATTACCCATAAGATTTTCAATTTTTCCTGGTTTTGTTCCATTTTAGAATCTGGTGCTCAGCTAGTTGGCAAAATGGTTATTTCTCTTGTTCCTCAAATGTGTAGTTTGCAGTTATATCTGTAAACTCTATTATAAGTTACAAGAACACCAGGAGATCCTCTAGTAAAATCTCACCAAAACATCCCTGACTGCCAAGGATACAAAAGTCAGCCTTAGATTTGCATGTATGCAGAAGAAAGCCTGCACCTGTCACCTACAGGGTGGCCCCTCAAGGAAGCTAGCAAGCACCGTTCTCTGCCACTCAGTTCTGGTGAGTGGTTAAAAGACAGAGAGGTTCACACCCTCGGCAGCCCTCCATGGGCAGCGTGAAGCAGACATAGCTGAAAGGCTTGTCTATCATTGGAACAAGTGTCACTGGACTCCTGTCCCTCTCTATCTACTTGGATCTTCATTTCAAAAGATGCTTTCGAACCAATATTTTTAGCAGGGGAGGAGAGGACGTAAGGCTGAAAGCTGCTAATTGTCCGGGTGACTGAGTCTATTGAGGTGGAGCTCTGGAGAGACAGCAGTCTGGTGCTGGGAGTCACAGGAGCATGTGGAGGAGGACACAGGGTCCACTGGGGCAAGCCCCGTCAGGGCAGCCTCTGGTTTCACATGCTTGTAAATCACATGCAGGATTGTGAGCCCCGAAACTTTAGTGAAATCCAAGTGTTCATCAGCCCCTGGAGCCACCATTCTATTTTTCTGAACTTTGTCGGAGACCTAACCTTTCATGTTTTTCTCTGTCTTTGACGGCAACCCATGATATGTTAGTGTGTTTGAGCTCAAGCGAAATGAGTCAAAGCAGATTGAGGAGCAATTTACTTTTCAAAAGTAGTGTGGAAACGTAGCATGTACACACATGCACACGCACACACACACACGTATATCCAGATGGTGACGGATGCGTGTCAAATGCTTCCTCAGAAAAATGGTAAAAATTCTGCTTTAAAGCATGCTTTGTGTTAGAAGAAAGTTCGTCTTACGTGAAAGAAAGCCAGACATTTTTATTTCTTAAGTGTACAGTAGAAGAAACCCCCTTCTGGAAGATTTTTGTATGCTGAGTGACACTTTAAACTTTTTTACCTGTCGAATTACAGCTTAGACGTCATTAAACCTCATCTAAAAGAAAGTTGCGGTAGTGGTAGAAATAAACTTCGAGCAAATTCATTGGAAAGGTGATCGACATTGTCTTCTCCAGAATAAAATCGGTTGAGCACCTTCTTCTTTTATAAAATTCGGA